ATGTGTCACACTGGCAGTTAGCTATAAAGAGGCAGGGTCACATGTGCATGTGACTCATGGAGGGCTCCTGCCATGCAGTAACTTGAATACTGTAGTGTGGAGCCCGAGTTGTACACTTTGTGTTATTTGATATCCTGAGTTGCAATAACAATCACCTTCTGACCATGGGTTCAGACTTCTGGGGCCAATCTGTTGGATCTGCTTACAGTTAGCAAAAAAATCCCTACTTACTGTAGCAGAAAATTCCGTGCTTACGGTAAGTGTATTTCACGTGCTGATGCCTCTTTAGCCCTGTCCGCTCTGGACTTATTTTGGTAAAACTTACTGAGACGATGGGACACTTCCCATTTTAAGTCCTGTGCGGGCAGCCTGGGACGTTTTCCTCTCAGTTACTTTTCTGGCCAACTGCTGCCCAGAACTGACCATCAATGTGCACAAGCTTACTTCTTATTCATCAACATCTGCCCGGCTGTCTGAGTTGGTTTGGGGCTAGCATTCAAGAGTCTCAAAGCGTGCAAGCTCTTGTCTGAGTCACTGACATCTGCCATGCTCTCTGAGTTGGGTTGGGCACCAGGTCTCACAGAGTGCAAACTCCCGTATGAGCCATCAATATCTGAGTTGGGTGGGGTCAACCTGTAGGGAAGACTTATCATTCAGTTTCCAGACTAGGCCACCAATAGAGAGGTAGTTCGTTCAAAGTTGTATGTTGGAGTAAAATCCTTTACAGCTATGATTATCGAGCACATGGAGTGGTATGAAATTAAAACAAACTTTTAATCATCCTGCACTGTATTTGAAGCCATTTATCATGTCCTTCTCTTTGGTTTGCTTTTTATAATGCAAAGCAAAAGAAAAGGAAGAGGATAATTTTATTGTTGAGGTCCTATTTGTTATGATATTGTTAGAGCACCCTCAGTATTAAAGTGAAGAGTTACGCGTATGCATGGCAGTTGCGATCTTTGATGCATGAATGAAGCATGGAATAAACACATTGCCGAGTTCTCATAAATCCTTCTCTGGGCAGTGATTTGTTTAAGCTGCATAAAGCAAAACATAGCACTATTAATTAAGTTAGAATTTCCTTACAAAACTTTGGCCGGTGACAAGTAAGAATAAGAAATGTGGAACACCATGCAAAAAAATTACCAACGCTGTAATTTGAGGCAGATTATATGGCAACATCATGTGTGTGTCACCGGCACAAGCATTGTGTGGCAGATCACATCTTCATGAAGGAAGCTATAGAAAAACAAACAGAGATTACAGAAAATTAAAAATCATTCAAGTTAGATTGGCTATTGCCTCCCTCTAATTCTCAATGAATTTCTTACAAAAGTAAAGCGTAAATAAATAATGACATACATTTAAAATAATTTTTACTTTTTTTGGCACATTTCAAGTTTTGAGGTTTTCCCTTTTGGAGATTACCAGTACATATACAAGATGTAAAGCATCACTGGAGCAACAGGAATATAAACACTGACACTGTTCGTAAAAGTAAGTCCTTCTAAATAATTCATTCAGGTTGATGTTTTTTGTCCCCTCTGATCCTTCCAAATATGGCATAATGACAGCAAGAATCAGATCACAGAGCTCATCACATCTTCATGGAGAAGATGGACTATTCAAAATTGTGGAACTAGGTTGCCCAATACCTCTCTCTAATGCTTGATAAATTTCTTACCAAAATAAAACAAAAATAGTTCAATGACAGACACGTAAAATCACTTTAGGACATTTCAAGTTTGAGACTTCCAGTACTTGTGCAAAATGTACATCACTAGAGCAACAGGTATGTAGGGCCTAAACGCTGAGGCTGTTTGCAAATGTACATTGTAAAGTACTCCAAATAATGTTCATTCAGGTAGCTAGGGGCGTAGACAACATGACTTGTGACCTACCAAAAGTGAGGAGGCAAGCCATAGAAAGCCGTGGATGTCAAGGCACGGCAGCACTCTCCGTTGAGGAGGAAGCCAAAGCATGGAGGTGCAATGCAGCGGCTGTACAGAGCCAGATGTCTGTGATGCTTCTCCAAGATGATTGGTCTGCATCTCAAGCTGGACGGCAAAAGCACACAATGCTCTGTTCAAGAGGCCAATCAGCAGCTTTAAGTAAGCCCCCTCGCAAGTTCGGGGTCAAATACATGTGTTTTTACATTGTTTAGAACATTCAGGTAAATGTTTGTCACAGGAAAACTGCAACTTTAAGCCAAAAAAAATTAACGACACTTCAAGTTTCATTTTGAATGCTGCTAATTGCCCTTTCATCAAATTCATGACTCATCAGTTGAACTTGCATTGATCTTATTTTGAACATCAATACATGTACTGTAATTTTTTTTTAATATAAGCTGCCCGGTGTATAAGCTGCAGCGCACCAAAACCTTCAGATTAAGATTCAGGCCTCAACGTATAAGCCGTACCATCGTATAGGCCTAAAGCCGCGTTTGGATTGGACTTATTTTTGTAAAACCTACGGAGATTGTAAGGAATTTGACCAAATTAAGTCCAGTGCGGACAGCCGGTAAACGCTGCAAATTGTCAAGTGTCGATCGTCGGTTGACAGTTTAACCCACCGCAGCGGAAGATCTACAGGGCCAACTGGGTCGCGGAGAAGTTACGCGGTCAGTTTTACGTCGCTGAAAAGTCCAGTGCGGACGGCCGCTGCAATGTAAAACCACGGTAAAGCAGGCATTTTGACCACGTGATTTCCGTCTCGGCGTCCAGGGGTCAAAATGTTTTTCGTTTCGAGTCGTATTTTCTGCTGCCTTGTCGCTCTTATCCTTCGATTATTTGATCTGTGCATCGATCAACAAGATGGAGGATTTCATAGATATGATCGTAAGCACAATTCTCGTGGATGATGATCCACAAGTGTCAAGTAACGCCCAACAAAACTGTGATGGCGATGGGAATCGCTCGACAGAGAGATTCAGGCGCCGACTGCAATGGCATCGACGAGTTCTGGACAACGAACGTGCGGGGTCCATGCTGAACTTCGCAGTTATTTTGACGAGCTTATGTAAGAGAAGTCTTCCCTTGTTTTACAATACTTTGAAAAGGAATTTTAAATGGTTTTAAAGGGCATGTAAAGTACATTAATGCCTGTAGCTGTACTACAGTGATTAATGCCTGTAGCTGTACTACAATGATGTGGTCCGTCGCATACGACTTCTTGTACTAATTATCACTGCACTAATTTCGGGGAAAAAATTATGCAAGAATAATCGGACAAAACAATTGTTGAAAAGTAAAATGGTTAAGATTTAATTTTAATACCCAACCATATTTGCCTTTTTACAGCTTATTATAACCACTCAAAAGTGAAATTCTGATTCGAAATCGTGATTTTAACGTGGAAAAAATTATGTTAACATAACAAATTCTTAGGAAAAACTGATTAATTTTAATTTAGATGAGATCCATAAGGTTTGAAAGTGGGGGTATTAAAAAATACAGTTCTTGTACAACTTGCATGTTATGTGTTCTAACCCTTATGTGGATTTGTTGGGATGTACAGGGGGGGGGGAGCTGAAAATAATAACTTCTTAACATCTTTTTATTTAATTATTTTACTTTTTTTTTAAAACAGTGTCTGCCATGTATAGGCCTTTTCACACTGTCCAAAATCTCTGGGTTGGAACCGGTTCCAACCCCGAGATTTTTTTCAACCCTTTTCCCACATCTAACATTTCAACCCGGGGACCCGGGTAGCGTGCTCTAGCCGGATCGAAATCAACCCTGGGAGGGACCAGGGTTGAAAATCTCAACCCGGATCGAAATTGCATTTTTCGGCCTGAACCGTGTCGAAAATGATAGTGTGAACTGCCCGGGGTTGAGTCACTCACGGCCGATCCGTGTTGAGTTGAGGCCGACATTTTACCGAAAATCTGACACGCCGTGCATAATATTTCCCTCCACCACTATCGCCGTCACAACACCGATCACGAAACAATTGCTCCCTAATTATCATCCAATAATGTATCGGTGTATGGAGCATCCTTTACCGAGTCTGGGCTTGTATTAGGTCTGCAAAATGTACCCCAAAAAAGTACATTTCTAATGTTAAATAGAACGAATCGTCTAACGAAATGACCGGAGCCATTTTGGAAATAATGCACACAGCTGCGCTGGTGTCGTACAAAAATCGGACTCCCAAATTGGATTCCTTTACTCTCTTATTATTGGCCAAACCCTTTCACGTGACAGGTCCTTCTCCTAATAGGCATGCGCAATACTACCAATGAGTCCGTATTTCACAGAGTAGTAAATTCACCCTGAACACCGGCCTGTCCGTAGGCCTCGTGCGTGCGCGCAGCAGCCGCGTGCGTCGCAATGCATTATGGGATTGAGAAAATCCTCGCAGCGCCCTGTGCCGAATGCGATCCGTGTCGAGAATTTGTAGTGTGAATACACGTGGGCCGTAGCCGGATCAAACGTTACACGGTTCACGTAGCGGCCGTTCCCGTAAAGGACAGTGTGAACGTCGTGTCTCTCCGATCCGTGTCGAAAAATACTCGGGCTGAACCGGGTTGGATCCGGGTAGGTTTCAACACGGTTCGAAACGGAGATAGTGTGAAAAGGCCTTATAGTTCTCCCGTAACTATTTGGAGGAGAGAACGGAGCAGCCAGTGGTGGGAAGTGGATGCCCTCATCCAGTTTACTGACCAGCAGTGGTACGAGAACTTCCGAATGACAAGGGCAGCCTTCCAACTGCTATGCAACCAGCTGCATCCTCATCTTGTCAGGCAGGTTTCGAGAATGAGGCAACCGGTATGTGTTGTCAAGCTTCTAGCACTAACCTTGTACCGTTTGGCAACTGGGGAGTCATTCCGCACCATCAGCAACTTGTTTGGTGTTGGAAGGACAACTGCATATGATGGATTTTGGGATGTGTGCAATGCTTTGAACAGCCACTTAAAGAAACTGTATGTCAAGTGACCTAAAGGTGAGGCTGTCAACCGGATGATAAATGTGTTCGAGACGAAATATGGCTTCCCGATGTGTGGAGGAGCAATTGATGGCACCCACATTCCCATCATTGCACCTGATCAGTACCACACAGATTACTTTAATCGAAAGGGTTGGTACAGCGTGTTACTTCAAGGCCTTGTAGACCACAACTTCAAATTTATGGACTTTGATGTAGGACAGCCTGGAAAGTGTCATGACTCGTGGGTATTTCAGTCCTCAAAACTGCACTTGAAACTTGTGAATGGCACGTTTTATCCAAGGCTCACAAGAGCAATTGAGGGCCAAGATATACCCGTCGTTATTCTTGGAGATTCCGCCTATACTTTGTCACCATTCTTGATGAAACCCTACCCAGAAGGACTAGCAACTGCAGAAGAACTTCGCTTCAATGTACGCCTCAGCCGAGCACACATTTTGGTCGAGCATGCATTTGGTCGGCTGAAGGGGCGATGGCGCTGTATCATGAAGCGCAATGACTCTCATGCCAAGAACATTCATGTTTTAGTTTCAGCATGCATTGTCCTGCATAACTTCTGTGAAACGTGGAAGCAAGAGAATGAAGACATGCACATCAGAGATGAGCCACAAGATGATGATCCATTTGAGCATCAAGCTGACCATGCACAGAATATTGCCGAGGATGGAGAACAGTTCCGTGCAGCACTTGCACGATACTTCACAAGTCACCATTGAAAAGATGTACATGTAGCTTCAAGTCAAGAATCATGTCAGTAGTGAATTCTGCAGGAATTGAAGACTGCATCCCCAACCCTAATATTCCTCTTTTTATTATTTTTTTTTTCTGAAGTAAATGTGATGCCAATCGATAACAGCATAACAAATTATGCGCCCACCCTTCTTAGATCTGCCACTGCATTTTTTTCGCAAACAAGTTTTCTGTCCTAATTGGCCTCTTTGCAAATGCTCAATAATCTTTATTTTTTATAAAGATGAAAACTGAAGAAAAAAGAATACACAAAGTTTGAATCCCGGCTGTTTATTTTTCATAACCTGTGGTAAAGACACATTGAGAAATAAACATGTACATGTACATATACTTTTATTGTGCGAATATTGCAATACATGTATAAACTGGATAAAGTTTCTCTTTTCTTACACTAGTTACAGACTTCTTAAAATGATGTGCTTTTAATAAAACAAACTTGGAGTTTTCACTAGTTCTAGGAAAGTTGTTTGATTTGAAATGCACTTTACGGGCTTTTTAGTTTAGTGTACTCCTACCTGTTAAATTTAACCATATTGTACAGATTATCAAACTGCTGGCAATAAAAGGCATTTAAAAAACTTCTTTTGTTCCTTGAGTTACAGAGTTGCACATGACTTATGAAACAAAATATTAACAGGTAACATCAAACTTAAATGTTACATAGTTTGTAACCTTTGCACAAGGCTCCTGAATAAACCACTTCAAACTAGTTGAAAATATATTAAAAATACATAATGTATACATATTTAAATGTGAACAAAAGTTGAAACTAAACTTAGTACATGTCCAAAAACTGAATATATGGCAGCTTAATAATAATACTGTAAGAATATACCGAAGGCAAGTCGTTTTAATGTTAAAACTTAAATATAATTTCATATGTTTCATTATTGTCACATAAGGAGGTACTACTTGAAAACTAGATTACATGTAATTACCGGAAAACTAAACTACAGAAAACACAAGAACTTGTTTCCGAAAACTCACACTAAATCTTTGCTACAATTACTACAGTCTCGGCACTACCACAGTATAATATTAAAGCTGTATATTATACAGCTTTATTAGACCTAAAACATGATGACATCATGCTTTATTGGCATGTTCGCTTCCTTCTCGTTACAACCTGGCACACGTGAACAAAGCAGGATGTCATGTTTTAGGTTAATTTCAATACATGCATGTTCTTAAAAACGAGGGGTTGGTTGGAAGTCAAATGAATTTTGATTGACATATGGTGGAATGGCCTGGTCAGTAGAAGGTCCGCCGATGTTGGTGTACTGGTCTCTGTTGTTGCCTAGAATAGTTGCTAACTGCAGCATAAAGGCCCTGTTTTGTTCACCCTGCTGCTGCCGGAATGCTAGCTGTTCCCTCCGATGCTGATCTTCGCGGCGCTCCTTCTCTTCGGCTCTCGCTTTTTCCCACTGGAAGTGTTCCTTCTCCATCTGTAAGAGAGCCATTGTGGTCTCGTCCTTCGCGGCTTGTTGTGCCTCAATGAGCTTGGAGACAGCGCTGCCCATGGCTTCTTTTATCTGTGATTTTTTACCACGACGCTTTCTTGTCATCTGGCCTAAGGACAACCAAGAAATAAGAAATAAGAAATAACTGCAAATTAGGAAGAAACAGTAAGGAAAGTCCGAATGAATAAGTTTGAAGAAATTGTGATGACCTGAATGAGAAAAGAAAAAACAGGGTAATCCGAGGGAAAACTTGCTTGCCCTGAAATAGTAATTATGTAGTTTTAAAGAAAAAAAAAGGATAACTACAAGATGTTTGGGTCACCATTCTCTCCTCAATAGAAACATTGGGACCAGGAGGGGGCTAGAATGAAACGAAGACACTTGCTTGGATAGCTTACTTATGCACAAAGAAAAAATACACAAAAAGAAAACCAAACCAAACATAAGACTAAAGTAAAATTTTACCATTGAATTTTTCTTTCAGCTTGCTTGGGGCCTTTGAATTGCCAGGGTCTGTGGCTGGATCTTCCAGTTCAGCAGTGGTATCACCATCTGTTGACTGTTCGTCTGTGGCAAGGACCTCGTCAATGGCATCCATGTCCTCATTGATGACATCTGAATAGTCTGTTTCGACAAAAAATAATGACAAGAAATGGTTTTAGTTTATTTTCTTTAACATGAAAGTATTTATCCACACTGTTTTTGACTTCATAAACAGCAAACTGAACAATAACATTCCCAGTTTGTCAATGTTACTCTCTGCGAAATTCAAGGCCCGTGTATTTACCATTAAAATAGATATCCAAAAAGAAAATATTTTTTTTCAACCTATTACGATGTTACATCTGGCTCTGAATGAAAGATTTAAAATGCGACTTATTGCAATATTTGTATCAAAAACTGTTCATAAATATGCAAAGGAATTTTGTTGTCAAAATTGTATTAATTACAAAACTTTAATTCATATGTATGAATACCTTGGACCTGCTCTGTTGTGTCGCTCTGGGATGTTGATGCATTCTGTTCGTCATCCTCTTCTTTGTCAGAGCTGAGGCCAGCATCGGCATGGTGATAGGCCCTGCAGTTTGTCATCGGACTTTTCCCTGTGACAACATATTATAAGAAAGTTAATAACAAAAAAAAAGAATTTAAAGAAAAAGAAAAATACTCGCAGAGAGAATGTTGCATCTTGACTATAACTCAGTTGTTAAAAGTAAAAAAGATAAAATTAAATGGTTCTGTTATTCTGTAGTCAGGCAGGGGCGGCCCCCCTAAAAAAAAAAAATCAGTACACCCCCCCCCTCCGACAAAAAAAAACAGAACCCACACCAGATCATGACCAAAATGATGACTGTGATGCACGGTGACCAAGGAACATGGGCATGGAGAAAAAAAGAAAAAATCATTTGTGACAACTCACCCAGAAATTCGTCCAGCTCCTTGTAGTACGGGGAGCTCACCCTTCCCCGCCCAGATGCGTTATTCTCCTTTTTAGCATCCCTATACTTCCGTTTGAGGTAATCTATTCTGTCCTTGAGGCTTTCCCACGTCCGGTATGGCGACCTAGGAAAGGTGTGTAGAAACTTCGATAATATTGAGGCCCACACTCGAGAATTGTAAGTCATGCCCTCAAACCCCTCCTGGTGGGATTTTTCGCCCCAAATCGCGATGAGAGCTGAAGTTTCTTCTTGCTACCAATTCTGCTTCCTCTTCCCCTTGGGGCAATCGCTTGATGAATCCCCCTTTCTTTTCATGGTGTCACACTCACAGATTATAAATATAACTACAAAAATACTAGCACTTACTCAGACGTACGACTGATAACAAAATGGTGACAAAGCACTAGCCACGTTTTGCAACAGCGCGAGTTTCGCGGGGTTTACACAACAACATCCGGGGTCAGATTTTAAAAGGTCAATCGAAGGGCGCCCTCGTGAGATTGGGAGAAGAAATGTGCTGCAAAGTTTACGTGGCCAAGGACTTCGTGCGGACGCACGGAAGAATAACCACAGCGGAATATTGACAATCACGTACGGAAACTTTTTACAATAGTAAGTCCAGTCCGAACGCGGCTTAAGCCGCGCTATAATTGTACGTAAGGGCCCCCAGTGTCGGCACATCGCCACAAAGAGATCATTGTGTTGAGTTGTAGTTAGCAAGTTTTGATAGGGGCACAATGGAATGCGACACCCTTAATAAAAATCCGAATAAGGTTGTAATGAAATGGGTGTTAATTGGATTAAATTAAAAAAGGGTAATTGGAGTATTTTCTAGGGCATCTTTTCCCTGGACCTGCGTTCTGATCCGAGTGGGAATAAAAACAGTTATTAGATACTGGCAGGGCTTTTTTTAATAACGTACATTATACCATGGAGGGTTTATATTTAAAAACGAAGAGGTACCTAGGGTTTTTTCCCTAGGACCGAAGCGCGAGGCAACCAATTATTGTACAGTATTTACATTTTTCTTTTATTGTTTCATTCTTTTAGTAGGATTTTACACAGGAACTATCACAGTGCAAACGACCATATCTCTTTTGTTTTTTGGTAGCCCTGAAAAGGACTGTTTGTTTTTTTATCTGTCTTTGGTAACTTTCAAGCAAAATGAAATGTGAAGCATTCCTTGCATAGAGCTCGTCTTACTGCGTCTTTGTCGCTGCTTGATGTAGGATGAGTACTTATGGTGGTGTGACGGCCGACTGGTTGCCCGCAACTACCTATCAATATGACGGTACAGTCACCAACGAATAGCTGTTACTTCTAAGAGATCAGACATTATTGATCATGAAGATTTGTGCACATATAGTCACTTCACTCAGAAGTTCCTCACACTGTCAGCAGTTAGTATGGGTGGCCCCTACAAGAAACACAAGCTTTGGGATGTTTCCGAAGCAAGCATGTAGGAAACTATGGAGACCAGCCGTAGGGTTTTAAGTGTAAGCGTTCAAGATTGCAAGCTGGGGGATGCAGACAGTATAATAGATATTCTGCTAGTCAACCAGCACCAGCAGGCAGTATTAGCAAAGGAGACAGCAAGGCCAGCGGTTTCACCATTGTGGGCCAAACAAGGCTAGTGTGGCTGGAGATTGTGTTGGGACTGTGAGAGATGACGGCACTCTCTTCAGGCATTCCCACTATGGCTCACCTCAATCTGCAGCCCTGGATTGGGGCAAAATGCAAGAACCAGTTGCCAACAAGCAATATATTGTATGGCATACTAGACTCAGTCCGGGAAATGTACGAAATCGACAACGTTGTCATATTTAACAACCATTGTCGAATTTTAACGATTACCGTTGTGTATTCGACAATTTCAACTTCAAACGCAAAAATGTAAAATTTACGCAAAACATGTACTTTTTTATTTCACAATATTGACTTTCAATCCTCTAACTAAATTTCTATCTGCGTAAATTAAAAACTCGCCTGTGCGATTGGAAGAAATTTCCGTTTACTTTTCACAACACCAGTCTGAACCAGGGCGCCATCTTGTTTAATGGCGCTTCATCCTTGTCCCGTTCATTGCAATTACTGTTTATTACAATATTACGCTAGGAATTAAAAAAATCATAACAATGAGAAAGCTAATATTCTTATTGTAACGATAACTTTTAAAGAAGAATTTAGCTGTTCGTTTCCCAATTTTTAAAAAACGTTTTAGGTGTGCGACTTTGACAAAATGTTTAGCTATATTGCGCGGGAAATATGAAAACAGGAGGGGCGCGGAAAATATGAAAACAGTAGGGACGCGGTCTGACCAACACTATCCGGCTTAGCCTTTGATTGCCGTTATGACATCCAACTCCCAGGAAGACGACAAATACAAGGTTTTAGAAGAATCCTTGGAGAGAGAAAAGGAAAACAGCAAGGTTGTATACAAGAAGAAAGTGAAATATATAGATAACTCGGTTACAAGACGGTCAACCTACCACCGCAGAGCCCAAAGCCTCGTGCGTGCTGTGAGTATAGGCCCAACCTAACGTACACAAGCTGAAATACACTCGTTTACGGGTCAGAATTCTTTCGCCTTTTTTTTGGGGGGGGGGAGAGGGGGGTTTACCGTTGATTTGTTACTTTGTATTATAAGATGATTTTTAAGCTATAGGCCTGTACTTTTCTTTGTAAATATGAATAATGATGCATGCTTGGGGACGCTTTGCTTTATTTATTTGTATCATTTTTTTCATGTTAAACCTTGAGTAGGCCTACCTTCTTTTTAACAAAAAAGCCAACTTAATTTGTTTTCTTCGGCTCCCCAATAATATGTCATGGCCCATTAACTTTCACTCGGGACAGTTTATACCCAATGGAATATATGATAAATGGGAATAGAAAATGCAAGTCATCTGCGAGCCTTAACATTTCTTTCCAAAACTTACCGATTATGCAGGCTAAGGAATTGGTGATATCAACAAGATGTGAAGTGGACGTTCATGTGAAGCCGACGTGGGGAAGGGGCAAGTCTTGGCGATACAGCACACAGGCCGAACGGAACGACACGGCACCGGCACAAACTGATCCTGAACTTGTGCAGCAGCCCTCGTCCTCATCGCTCACCATCACTCCGAGAAAACATCACAACACTGTCGAACCAGTCCATACGATCGAACCCAACAAGAAGCTGTCTTGTCGGGCTTGTGGGTCCGATGCCAACAAGTCCTCCTGGTTAGGGTGTGATCACAGGAACGCGAGGACCAAACGTCTTGACTGCCAGTATTGGGTTCATCAGAACTGCATCGGTCTGTACTTTGAAAGGGACGGTGACTTGGAAAAGGTTCTCTTCTATTGCCCGAAGCATGGACCAAGTCAAAAGGCGCACAAGAGGAAAAAGAACCACTAAGTAAAAGGTAATACAATCATTCAGTTTGTTCCATGTCGTCATCTTTCTGTTCAATATCCTCGTTTCCCTCTCTAGATTTAGAATCTGACTGATATCTTGGTAAAATTGTATCTTGACACTCTTTGCTGCCTTTGCAACGTCACTAGTATGCATCTCCCTGTACATTTCTGCAGAATCTTGGTCACTGAATTGTTCAAGCAATTTCATCGTTTCTTCGGTCAGTTTTCTTGCAGTCCAGTTATTCACATCATTATACATCTGCTCATCTTCTGATGTGACGAATACTGGTTGCAGATTTGGCGCATGTGGGGACTTTTTGTAAGCGTCATAGTTTTCTAGAGCTGTGTTGTACACGTTGACAAAATCTTGGTGTAGCAATTTACCTTCTATTGACTTCAAAGGAATTTCCTCGTATGGATTTTTCAACATCCCCGACAAACGAATTTCTTTCCTAATAGCTTGAACTTCCAGCTCTCTGTTAAAAACAGATCCTCTCTGTTCGCCAGGATCTTGAATACCGGCTCTTTGGAAAACAGCTTTCCTGTTTTTCTGAAGGTTAGCGCTACATCGGCTTGCCATTTGCCATCTTTCTACAGTCGGTACTCCTGGTGGAAGGATACTCTTCAAAGATCTGTTTTCGTTTTCAGTTACGTAGTCACCGCCTTCGCCACGCAAATTGTTCCCAGATCTGGAAAACGCCTCGTTCTCCTCTATATATTTTTTTATGTCTGGCGGTGCCTCAACTCTAACTTGCATGTCCCTGAAGAGAAGCGGTTGATAAATACCGTGCTTGCCGATATACATTATGGGAGCAGTTTTCTGGCGGCCGGCAATAGCGTGCTGAGAGTTATTTCTGCGTATACCACTTCTGAAGCACTTAACACCAAGGAAAATGTGAAATATGAGATCATATATCAAATTGAAATTTGGATTGATTACTCTTGTATTCTTCCACATAACGAAGTCCTCTGCTGTTGGAAGAAAGTTCTCATTCTCCTCGCGATTTTGAGAAACATATGTATAACATAGTTCGAGAGCAAATGCCTTCAACACAATGTCGAAGATCTGCCATGTGACGTGATGATTGCTTCCCCTGATTACAAAGTCTTTGGCTCTCTTGCTGCAGAATCCTAAACACCCAGCAATATGTTCCATAAATACGACTCTAGTCAATGAGAAAATTGCCCTCAGAAGGTTTATCTCTGCATGACCGGCACCAGGAGTGAGAAGAATATCATCCAAGAGCTTCTTGCTGCCGATATGGTACACACCTGGATGCTTAATCTCACAGTGGGCGTCAAAGGGTGTCACGGAAATGTCAATGTGCTCGTTGCACACTTCACACATAATCGTGTTTTTTATTAGCAGATTTGCAATCCGGTATGGAACACCATCAAACCCAACACGGATCCAGGAACGATCAGTGCCCACCCCAGCTTGTTGTTTCAGATTCAGCAACACCTCTTTTATTGTAGCCTTGGAATTTGGGTTTATAGGAATGATCTCACCCATGTTAACAGCTAGTTTTTCTTTTGAATGGCAGCTTGGTACATCGCCATACATACTGCTTCTATCCGGTACGTTTACTGGATTGTACCCGCATCCCGGACACTCAACTGTCACTTTATCATATACTTTGCAACACTTGGGGCATACGCAATCTTGCTCTTGTGCAGAACAACTGTAGTAAACGTGGTCCTTTGACTCGCCGGTGATGTCATCAACATGTAATTCACTTTTTACCTGTTCAATGAATTTACTCTGGCACATATGTCGGTATGGTCGGAACACATTATCATTGAGCTCTTTTTCAAACGCTGTAATTTTATCAGCTACGTCTTCAGAACGCTGTAATTTTATCAGCTACGTCTTCAGTTTTGTCAAGCCAGTGAGATGGTGCAAGTTGGCCTTGAGTCTGCAAATTCGATGCAGGTCGACTTTGTATGAATACCACATTCGTCACAACATTGGCAGGAGTCGTTCCACCAGTACGCACACGACCCGTTTTACCTATCCTTTGCGTATTATCAGCAAATACATCTACATCACCAGACGAGAAACACACATTTGATTTGGCAGATGAGTTCTGAAGAACTTTCTTCAACGAGGTCACGCTCCCGCTTGCACTGCTTGCTCCGTCTAATGCGTGTGTAGTTTTGCTGCCATTTATCGACAACTTCACCAAGCCCTGGCTGAATGATAACGGTCCCACGAAGTTAGCATTGCGTAAAGCATAAATGTTCTCAATTACCAGGCATAGTCCATTGGTCTTCTTTGCATTTTGCTGGTCGTCATCAATTGTTACATTGGAAATACTGCTCAAAAATGATACCAGAGCCGGTGGTCTTTCCCCTAAATATTCCACGCAGTTTAAGTCCAACAAGTTTTCTAAATTCTTGTATGATCCCTGTACCGCCTTCGAATCTTGAAGAATATTGCTACTCAGTAGGTTGCCAAGAGCGGAGCAGACCCTCGTGACGCTTTCTTGGGACAATTTACGATTTGTTATCAAATTCAAAATTTCTCCGACTATCGCTGATTCTGAATTACTGGGCTCTTCCTCCTCAGGTAGTTGACTGGGATCTTTTTTCCCAGTTGTATCGCGTTTACTTCCAGTTCCACTTGTTGATGGCGCCTGGTCAAGACAGTCAATACAAACGTGTTTTGCGCGCGGACTCAAATACTTTTTATCCAAAAGCCACTGCAGTTTTCGAGTAGGATGTGATTTCAGAGCGATATTGAATAATGTGGGTGACTCCGAGGTTTTGAAAACATCGTGCATGATGCACTTGCAGCTCTTGGTAAACTGTGACCACGATGAATCCCCTGCAGAAGATCGAGTTCTCCGCTGAGCAACTGGTTTAGTTTTGCCCATTGTGAAATGTTTTTAACAGAAACTGCACACTGTTGGTAAAGGAAAACAAATGCCCAGGTTGAAGGGAGTATATTGGCACGGTGTTGCAGACAGTGTTCATACTTTGTCTAATTCAATATACACATAAAATAACAAACCTGTGCAAGATTTAGCTCAATCCGTCATCGGAGTCACGTGACCCAAAAAAACCTCCCATATTTCATTTTTTGGTCACGTTACTCATAATCATTGGCAATGCCAAAATCTCCAACCATGGTACCATTATTTACTTACTTTCAAGTATTATACATCGTGATATTCGACAGTTCCGATTTTGAGTTTCTGTAAATGGTGTATGCTCCCTTTAAAACAAGTTTCTAGAATAGTACAAAAAGTTTGCCGTCTTGCATGACCAAATATCCGGATATGACGTCATCTTGTTTTTACAAAGACGCGGCAACGCTGCCCATGCTGCCCATGCATGCTGTTAGTATCACACTTGCTTTTGGGTCACCACACAGCGCACATCTTGCAAATCTTTCCCACGACTTAAATAGTATACTGAGACTGAAGTTCAACGTTGAATTTCCTTGCAATGGACTATCTGCAGGAAATGAAATGTCTCCGTCAAGAGAAGGGGTGGCATCGAGAAGGGACTGTTGCATTAACATTTGTGTCAACGATCAATGGGTATTGGTTACATTCATAAATGTACATTCAGTTCTTACCTTATTTAACGTCTCACAATGAGTTTCTCTGAACCTTGGGTTTTGTCACTGATTTTTATTCCTCCACGATTGCAGGTACCATGCCTACCACAACCGTCCTCTGCAGGGGCGACAGTTTGTCATGCAGTGTTCTCACCAATCCAGCAAATACGACCAGTGGGGATGTGTGGTCAAGGCTCCACAGCTTGAAGATGTTGATGAGGCTGTCCAGGGGATCGAAACCAGAGCTGGTCCTAATCGCACCACCGTAGCTGATGTCGCCGGCAAGGTCATCGGTCACGTGCCCCGCAAAATATGCAACGTGCTGGCCGCTGGCCTTGCCGTGGATTTGTCCATCGCAAGGGCCGTGTGTGTGTTCACGGGGGAGTTCCAACACGGCGGCGCTGCCTCCGGAGGTGGCCCAAAGCTGGTGGCCGTCTACCAACTGGAGGTGGTGCGCCAGCGAGATGCGGTGGAGATTGCGGATAGCATCCGTCCACACCTCACAGATAAAGACAGGCTGTGGATCTACTGAGGAACGCCGGCCCTACTACCCAGTCATCTAGACATCAAGAGTTTCTGTTGTTTTCGTAGTTTTAGCCTGTTTTCAGTACATTATTTATTTATGCTGCATAGTACTTCACCAAAAAAATGTGATTTTATTTTTAATTTAGAAAACTGTGATTTTACTTTAATTTAAGACTGTGATTTTATTTTTAATTTTAAAGACTGTGATTTTATTTGTAACCCTAAGTAAATTAACAACACATGTACACCACAGCACAAATAATGACAAAGTGAATACAACAACAGGCAAAGTTTCATCATGATCGATGCCCACTTTATTCCTCCAACATCGACAGGTTACCAATTATTTGCTGCAATTATTACTATAAAATGCAATATAATTTTGTAAAATCCGGAACTAAAGTGATTGTTTTGGCATGCAATAAATCAGTCGAAATCTTTTCAAATTTCTTAAATTATGACCAAAAGTATATTGTAAAATCAGGAATCCTATATGTTACTGAAATGATTGTTTTGGCATGCCATTAATCAGTCGAAATCTTTTCAAATTTCTTAAATTATGACAAAAGTATATTGTAAAATCAGGAATCCTATATGTTACTGAAATGATTGTTTTGGCATGCAATTAATCAATCGAAATCTTTTCAAATTTCTTAAATTATGACAAAAGTATATTGTAAAATCAGGAATCCTATATGTTACTGAAGTGATGGTTTTGGCATGCAATAAATCAGTCGAAATCCTTTCAAATTTCTTAAAACTATAATCAACAATGAAAGGATTGTAACATGTCTTTGCATCTCTGTACCGCTAATCCAATCCAGTCTTGCAGAATAGTGATGTATACCGGAAGTTGTCGAATACGACAATGGTTGTTAAATATGACAACGTTGTCGAATTCGTACATTTCCCGGACTGGACTCCATCACAAACACAAAGGCGTTTCATGCAGATACACATGACAGACATACAATGCAAAAGCCGAATTAAAAGTCTGTCCTGCAACATTCATGTTATTTGTTTGTGAAATCCCAGCCCCTAATTCTCCCCTTTTTTGGTGTGCACTAGCTTCCCTTCCTTTCATGATTCGTAGAAAATGGTAAACACTATGATGAAGTTGTTTTTCAATTACTTCTTTTATCATTATTCCCTAAGTACCTTCAACAAGACTGAACTGACCTACGGGTTTGAGTTTCTGGTGACTCGAAGCAAATCCAGGTCTGTGTTAGAGCTTGTTCATACGGGGTTTGCTCAACAAAAGAGTTGAAGCTTTTCAGCACACAACGAGTGTACATTCGACCCATTCAACAAGACATGGAATTGACAGAGTCGTCCCCACCCTCCTCCTCAGCCACTCTTGTGCTGTCACTACGGCAGAGAGCTACCAACAAGCAAAATTTGGGCTCACATGGAGCAGTAAACAATCTGTGAGTACCCTTCTTCCATTATTAGTCCAAATAATCAGCACAGAAGTTTTGTCTTTTTAATGAAACAGTGTAAATCCCGCATGCACATTATCATCAAAAGTTGGAAGGTGATATTTACCAATATCATTTAAAAGGTCATCGAAGCATAGCTTTCCTCTTTTGAACATTGGAACATGGATGATGTCTATTAAAATCTGTAAAGGTTGCAAGTTGGTGAATTATCACAGTATTAACAGTGGTAAAAGATGTTGTATCTGAACATTTTGCGCATCGTATCCCAAAAATAAACTTTTTTTTTCCAAAAAAATTGTTTTTAGTAACAATTTTTAATGGTATGATCTTTTGGATCTTTCTGCATGCACCTGTTTGTATCAGGTGAATGCGCCATTGGAGGAAGAACTGAAGGATTACTCAACAAAGCAGCCCACCCTGCTTGCATTTGGCTCCAAACCCTACATGGAACAGATCGTTATGAAAATCGAGGACTATGGCTTCCTTCTCCCAACATCAAACATCACAGTAGCAGTGGACCTTCTCTTCAAGAGCCACTACCTCTTCAACTTGGAGTACTCAACTCAGCTAGTTAACTTTTTGAGTACCTTCAGACTCAGATACATGTATATGGTCCTGAGAATACTGGAAAGTTGCAAACACGAGTCACTGAAATAGCAATGGCACTCGAGTCTCTTTAGATAAACCAAACCTCATTAAATCTACACTGCAAAATAAGGGCCAAATCACTGATTTTTTTAGAGCCTCAACTGTTCAGTTAGAGGTGGCAACCACCTTCATTTTCTTCTCCATCCTTTGACTGATTGAACTGATATGGTTGCCTGCTATTACAAAAAAATAATGTCCAAAGTGTAATATTCCACTTGGGCTATTATCGGTTACCGTAAGTATATCAGCAACTATTAGGATGTTACAACTGCTCCTAAGAAGGCCAAGCACATCCGATTCAAATGAAATAATCGGATTCAAATGAAATAATCGGAT